TTTAAATAAACATGATATATACTCATGAGTGACCTCTAATAATTAACAAAGACAGTCGTTATTTATTATGCTGTTTATTCACATTCATTGTCTTGATGACAGAATAAATACAATACAGTAAATATTCCTCTTCATGTCATCATACATGATACACAGTAAAACAGTCATAGTATTGTTATGTGTTACGTTGTGTGATTAATAATTAGTGATTACAAATTATTAATGTAGTTAAAATGAAGTTATTAATTGTTATTATTATATTAAAGTTTATATATGAACCCAAATTCTCTCGAACAACTATGAATCTATCTTAATTATGACATCTATATTTTTAGTAATAGTAATAGTACAGTATTAATAGAAGTATTTTTTTAGACTTAGTTATTAGTTGTTATATTGTTATTAATTATTAGTTTGATCTTTCTAGTCTATACATTCTGACCTTATTATCAAGTGCGTGCCTAATAAAAATGATATAATAAATGAATGGTAATGCAATACCATTGCAGTCGATTAATATAGTAATAGTAATACTAATATAAATGTATGGTAATGACATTACTAATGGCAGATTATAAAATAATAATTGGAAGCAGTAGTTACACCCAACACTGAAGTGTCATTAGAAGATTTGCAAGTAGAAAACTCTAATAGTCAGTACTTCAATGATAAAATAATATTGTGTACAGTATTGTTAGTAGGTGTGTGGCTAGTGGACTGGATGTTACTTAGTAGGTGTGTGGCTAGTGGACTGGATGTTACTTAGTAGGTGTGTGGCTAGTGGACTGGATGTTACTTAGTAGGTGTGTGGCTAGTGGACTGGATGTTACTTAGTAGGTGTGTGGCTAGTGGACTGGATGTTACTTAGTAGGTGTGTGGCTAGTGGACTGGATGTTACTTAGTAGGTGTGTGGCTAGTGGACTGGATGTTACTTAGTAGGTGTGTGGCTAGTGGACTGGATGTTACTTAGTAGGTGTGTGGCTAGTGGACTGGATGTTACTTAGTAGGTGTGTGGCTAGTGGACTGGATGTTACTTAGTAGTTGTGTGGCTAGTGGACTGGATGTTACAGGAGATAAGGTTTTTAATTCTTGAATACTATTATATTATAGTACGGCAGTGCATCTGGAATACATCGTGACAGTAGGAAAGTTGAAAGGGACGCGATTCATTGGGAGACAGAGAAAACTTGCTGGACAGTTTGACATCATGCCATGGAGGATCATCTGTATCAGAGTTGATTGAAAGTACAGGAGACAGAAGGCTGTGGATAGACATGACTACCAACGCCAGACGGTGTGAACTTTAAAGAAAAAAACAGCATGCAGTAATACAGCTATGGGCAGTCACAAAGCTAAATTTACTACGGAGAAACAAAAATATGTTTAATACTATCACCATTATCAAACTAAATAGACATAGTAATAAATTTAAATAATGCGGACACAAACAATACATTGCACAATTTATTACCAGGCATATTACGCGGTATCTCATCAGGTGCGTTACTACAGAGTTACGTCAACATAAAATAAAACACAAAACTGAATAAATCAAACTGAAATGCAAATAGTTTCTTCCGATACATTGTGTGTGATCTTTTTTTTTTATGTTGACGTAACTCTGTAGTAATGCACCTGACAAGATACAGTGAAATATGCCTGGAAATAAATTGTGCAATGTATTGTTTGTGTCCGCATTATTTAAATTCCTTACGGGAAAACATTGTTTTGAATGGCATAGTAACATTACCATTAAGCATAGTTATAGTACACTGAGAAAAAAAAAAGGAGTCAACAGATGAGCACAACTAGCAAGAGAGTTTGTCTTGTTTGATATACTCACAGCTGTCTGTGAGCCAGTGTATCGTTAGTTATTCAGAGTTGTCTGTAAACAGCAGCATATCATTGATGCTTGTGCTAGCACTGGTGCACCATTTTTACAGAGACTGATTAGTGTCAAACTGGATATTGTGTTCCATTTGTTAATTTTTTGGGGGAAAAATACAACTTATAATTTCTAGTGTAATCAGTGGAATAAAAAAAAAAAACTTGCTTGGAAAAAGAGCACAGATATTTTACTTTAGTTAAAGTATGATTGGAATCCCTATACACATATTAAATGGAAATTATTAAACATATTTTAGGATATTTGTGTATGTTTAGTCAGTTTTTCTATTAAAATATTGAATTAATAATCGACTACATAGCACTCAGGACACTCCCATAAGCGCTCCTTCGCCATCTTCAGCAGCAAGCCAAGAATACCGTTTCTGATGGTACCGTAACTGCCTGATTGTACATCTGACTTGTCTTTAGTTGAGCCTCTGCCAGATTCGCTGGCAACTCCCCACAGCGCCATTCTCCTCAGACCTTCATGGTCTATTTATGCCTCCGCACTGTTCACATGCTCCCAAAGGACCCTCTCAACATCTAGCTTGTCATACATCAATTCACCACCTAGTAGTGCAGAAGCAGCCGGTCTAACAGCCTGCCATTTCCTAATAGACCAGCATATCCTGACGAAAATATCCTAACGACATTAAATACCAACGACCTCTGAAGCAATGTTTGCCACTCTACAAAGAGCATGCCTGTCTCCACCTTTCTCAACATACACTGTGAGTCAGTTACAATTATGACATGCGTGTACAGCTGATTCTCAAGACAGCAGTGACTGCCTTCATTCTCAAACTAGACGCGATATGCCTGGCTTTATTGCACTAAGCGACATCCAGTAGCTTTTGCCATGAACCTCCATGTACTTCATCTGCCCCTCAACACAGAGCCAACTGTAGAGATAATCACATCACTTGTTCGGGAATTGTCATGAATGATTTGTTGAACTTCTGATTCTGCAGCACCAGCTGGTCAGTCCCTGCACTCACGAAGTAATTAGAATCCTACATAAATCTGATTCTTGCTCTGACACTTTGACCCACTCCTCTCCTCACCAAAATTTATCAAACCTGCACACAAGTCTGATTGTGTCTTCAGCCTGCGTCATCTGAGACCTTCCTTCAGCAGCAAGCTAAAATACTGTTTCTAATGGTACTTTCCTCTTTTCAGTTTGTGACCCTTAGCTCTACATATGGCTTCATGCAAGAGGTGCTTCTTGTCTGCAGCTACTCTGAGTTTTGACTTTGCCTGCAGAACTTTGAATCTTTCTGCAATAGTAGGCAGTGCAAGTATAAATCATATACTTACTACTGGGGTATCTCTTGTACATCCCAGAATTACCCGCATGGCTCCAAGTCCATAATCTATCCCTGACAGAATCACTGTGAATAGCATTCTTTGTTCCACGTACATTGCTGCCATAATCTTGAGTCCTTTTTGGCATTTCACCGCAACTGCCTCCACATGATCCCTGAAGGACAGGCTTCTATTTAAAATGATTCCCATGTACCTCATTTTGCTTTCTTTTTTGATGTTTCTGTCATTATTTGTGGGGCTCTTACAATTCTATTGTCCAGAGAGCACCATAAAACAGCTCACCTTTTCTGAGTTGTTGACAACACCCACCTCTGCACACCAGTCAGTCACTTTGTCTTTTCTTGCCTGTAGCTCCTTGACTGTCTGTTGCCTATCATTCCTCTGCCTATATGCAACAGCATCATCTGCAAATGTCAATATCCTTTCAATGCCTGGTGTTTCAAGTTCTACAGTCTTGCTTTTATACACATTGAAGAGCACTGGTGAAATTGCAGAACCCTGTGGTAGTCCCTGGGCGATATTACATGGTTCTGAGGTCCGTGTACCCATGCGAAGGGCAGCCATACGTGAATGCAGGACAGCTGCTATCCAGTTCACCAGCCAAGGACACACTTCCTTCTCCAGGAGTGCAGATATCAAAATATCATACCTGAATCTGTTGTAGGCATCCTCAAGATCAAGTTCTGCCACAATCGTCCCCTGTCTGTTCTGGAACCTCTCAAAAACATCAAAAGCAAAAGTAGCTGCATTTGACCAGGTATCTTTCCGTGGCCGGTAACGACCCAAACCTTTTGGCAGGAGCTTTTCCCTTTCCAAAAACATTTGTAGTTAAGCAGTAATAATCTTCTCTAGCACCTTGCCAAAAGTATTTTATTAGAGTTATAATCCTGAAACCACTGGGTCTGGAATGATCTTTGCCTGGCTTTGGAAGTGGGATTAGCTCTGTACCCAATCTTGGGGTACTGAAGCTGTTCTGATGCTCTGGTCTTAAGTCTTCGTCACTCATGCTCTTCATGTGAGCATACCTGACTGTCTGGCCTCGGCACAGCGTCTTTGGTTTTATGCAATATATATATATTATATCCTCGACCCTATTGATATCCTGAAGATTATTATCATTTATAATATAGGCAGATTATCTCTAACTGAATATTTAAGTTCTCCATCATTATGATCAGTTTGGGCTATAAATCTCTTCAAAAATACTTCCCCTTTCTCTTTGTCTATTGTCATTGGTATATCATTATCGTTGTATGTAATGCCTCTTGTGATAGGTCAGTTCTTCCTTTACATCTGTCTGTAAAGTTTCCAGAACCTACCAAGTCATTTATTCCTTCCAGTTTCATTCATAAAATGTTCCCAATTAGCCTTTTATGCATCTACTGCACGCCGCTTAAAATCTTCAACTTTTTCTTTTACAACTCTTTCTAGCTTCTCTACATCCTCTTGCAACCGGTGAGGTGTCTTTCACATTTTCTGTAATTGTTGAACTCCTGCAATTGTAATGCATTGTGGAAATAAATAATAAAGAAAAAAAAAAAGAAATTCCCTGAAATATAAAAACAAATGTTGTTTGATTGAAGATAACAATTTTGCACATTGACAAGGTCAGATGAGCTTGTAGCTAGTGAAAATAAATAAATAAATTTAAAAAAAAACCAACATTTTTCTGATACAGATGAATAAAAACTTTTCCCAGGATAATTCAGATTGTGTAACTAGATCCACTGCATGTAAAATACATTTAGAGTAGGTTATTATTAATAAATAATGTTTCAAATTTCAGAATGGCTGTGCAAGTGAATTCATCTGTATTTAATGAAAATGGAGATCGACAAGTTGGTGGATTTTGCCCCAACATTTTTTTCTCTGGCTTTGATACCAAGTTCATTTGTAAACATTGCCACTGTATTCTCCGAGATCCTGTTCAGAGCCAGTGCGGTCATAGGTTTTGTTACAGCTGCAGGGATGAGCTTCTTGTGTATGTATATTCTGTTATTTAAATTCTTTTTTTCCCCCATGGAAAAAAAGGCTAGTTAACTAACAAGCACTAGCGACCCACATTATGTAACTAGTGACCCATATTATGTAACTGTAACTAGTGACCCATATTATGTAACTGTAACTAGTGACCCATATTATGTAACTAGTGACCCATATTATGTAACTAGTGACCCATGTTACTGTAACTAGTGACCCATATTATGTAACTGTAACTAGTGACCCATGTTACTATAACTAGTGACCCATATTATGTAACTGTAACTAGTGACCCATGTTACTGTAACTAGTGACCCATATTATGTAACTGTAACTAGTGACCCATAATATGTAATTGTAACTAGTGACCCATATTTTGTAACTGTAACTACTGACCCATATTATGTAAATGTAACTAGTGACCCATATTAAGTAACTGTAACTAGTGACCCATATTACTGTAACTAGTGACCCATATTATGTAATTGTAACTAGTGACCCATATTTTGTTACTGTAACTAGTGACCCATGTTACTGTAACTACTGACCTATGTTACTGTAACTAGTGAACCATATTACTGTAACTAGTGACCCATATTACTGTAACTAGTGACCCATATCAGCTATTACTAATAAATTACAGACATTCATTAACTGGTGCCTGCGCAGAATAGAGGGAATTAAATGGTATTATAGAATAACTAATGTAGAACTTTGGGAGAGAACTAAACAGGCTCCAGTGACCAAGAGGTGAGGAAAAGATGCTGGCGTTAGATAGGACACACACTGAGAAAACAGGAGAACAGCATAACTAGAATGTCTTTGCATTGGAACCCACAGGGGCATAGGAATAAGGGAAGGCCAAAAAACACACGGAGAAGAGAGCTGGAGAATGAAGTTAAAAAGATGGGGAGAGCTCCATGCAATGGCGAAGGATAGAACGACTTGGCGTGAGTTGGTTGAGGGCCTATGCTCCATTGGGGGATAGAAAGTCAGAAGAATAATAAGAAGTGACCCATATTACTGTAACATTAAAACAAGATTACTGTTCCAGAAACTTAGTGGTTTATTAATACATCAGTGTGTCCTGTGTAGGTTCTGTGTCCCCGTGGAGGGGGTGGGGGGGGGCCCACTGCCTCCTAACAAGCATGTCATAATAGTTAACCAATCAGTGATGTTTCCTTTGAAGTCGAACATCTGCCTGAGAGGCAAGAAACCAACGGTCTGCATTAAAAAAAGCCAGATCTGTAAAACGGATGTGAGTGTAAAACTCAGTTTCTGGAACAAGACAAAAGTCCAGCAGTGATGAACAACCAGAACTTTTTTGCCAGAGTTTACTGCAGGGAACTTAAAGACAAAAGAAAAGAAACAAAACTGAAACAAAATATAGTGAACAGAAAATTTGCTTAGTTTGAATTCCATTAGTGAAATTAATATTTCTATAATTTGTATTTATCCTAGATAGTTGTTAACTTAAGTCATGCACGGTTAGATGTGGTGAAATAAAACTAAGAACTTCTTCAGCGATCTCTGGTCATGCGCATAATCCACTGTGGGTCATAAACTGGGATGTCTTTTCAAGGTCTCTTAGGTTTCCCCAAAGCTTAGTTGTCAGTTCTACTGGGTGTTGCCATATGTCGCTCTGCAGCTCCGCCAGGAGAGGACAGTCTTGCAGGACATGTTCTGGAGTCTGTTCAGCACGAAGACACTGGCAGAGAGCTGTTTGGCTCATACCTAATTTATTTGAGTGTTTATTGAGTCTGCAGTGTCCAGTGCGTAAGCGAAAAACTGTGACTTGGTCTGTTCTGTTCAAGTGAAACTAAGAACAATATGAAACAATTACAGTAAAAATGAGATAAAAGTGGATTAATTGAAAACAGAAGCTAAGAAAGGCAGATCATCTGTAGTCTTATCTGTGCATCAAATGAGTGGCTGGCTCCAGAATGAGTAGGCTTACTTGTTTAGTTAAACACATCATTTTCAGTAGCAGATCTTATCAACAGATAAGATCCTCATCCTATCATCAATCCTAATTCTTTCTTCTTCTTCTTTTGTCAATATCTGCTTATGCTGCTAGGCGTCACAGTTCATCAGACGATTGGCAGCCGAGCCAGGACGCTCTAAATCACTTGGTATGCCATGATGTTATGCAGCTTTAAGGTGTCAATTACTCCTTCAACCCATCTTATTCTTGGTCTTCCCCTGCCTCTGGTGTTTAGATTTTCAGGTTGTATGCTCTTGCTGTTGGCATCGTTGGTTTCATTTTCATTAGATGGCCAAACCATTTCATTCCATTGTTCCAATAGTTCTTGTGATCACGTCGTTTCTCACTCGATCTCTTCTGATTTTATTCACATCTATTCTAAAACCTTTCATCTCACAATTGGTTAGTTTTCTTTCATGTTCTTTTGTCAACGTCTAAGTCTGACATTGGTAACCTAAAGTCAGTATATATACTGAATTTATAATTTGTCGTTTTGTCTCTTTTAGGATAGCAGAGCGTTTTTTAAATTGGAGCAAGTTGGTACATAATTACCAAGTAATCCTAACATTAACAATAATTAGCTAGCTGAAATAATTAAATTGGCAAAGTGTACAAGTTTACAACTGTAATGTAATGGGGAGGTGGGGTATTCAATTGCTGTCATTTTTGCCTGTTGGTAAACTGTTGAAATCCCAATCTAAGCAGGAATGTTAAAAAATGATTTGGATCCCTGGTTGACCTATTCTGAAAGGCAAACAGGGAAAGAAAAGGTTGTGAACATATGAATGACCTTATCACCCACTGAGTGCTGACTGGTCTGTTAGAAGATGGTGTTCCCATGTCATTGCGGATTAACTTGTTATCCACATTTGTATCCTATCACATTGGTTTTACCAATTCTTGCTCCATCTTCCAGTGCTGCAGTCAAATCAGCATCTTCATGCTCTCCGTACCTAGCAGGAGTTGATTGGCTATCTTTTTTTTTTTACCTCGCAGCTGGATCATACATGTTTGTCCTTGTTTTAATACTCATTTCAAATGACCGGTTCATCATCTCTGACTCCTTTGTTTCAAGAACACAGCACATTCAGTATGTCTGTTCTATCCATACTTATTCCTCCGCTTACTACTGCAGACATAGTGTATGCCCACCCAAACCACACCCTACATTTCCTTCTTCTTCGAGTTCACTGGCTATAAACTCCAGTGGAAATTGTGGTTGTTCATCAACCTCTGGACTTTAGTCTTGTTCCAGAATTTGAGTTTTGCATGCACATCTGTTTTACAGATCTGGTTTATTTATATGCAGTCTGTTGGTTCCTTGCCTCTCTGGCAGATACATTCCGACTTCGAAAGAAGCCTTCATTAGTAGACTTTAACGACATGTTGTTGGCGAGGTTGTGGGTCTGTTCTTGTTTTCTCTACAGTGGTACCCGTGAACCCACATGGGGTGGCACACCCGACAAATTACTGAGCCATCTGTATAGATGATGGTGTCACTGGTTGTGTTTGCTCTAGGACGATGACCCTTGTTTTCAGCATCAGTGGCTGTTTGGCTCCATGCTCAACAATACATCCCTAAGGCGATTACTACTTCAGTGTACTCTTGCATTCTTTCTGGTGTTTCTATCCATTCAGCACCGAACTTGACATGTTCCACTGGACATATTTTGGCTACTGGTGTCCTCTGCTTCCACCATTCAGAACTGTCCCCTCTTTTACCTTTGTTCATCCTTAGGCAGCTGTGCTGAGGGTGTTTTGTACCAGCAGCAACACCCAGGTACAACCTTTTCTGGGCTGTCTTATGTCTGGTGACCTTGTCTGGCAGGTCAGTATATGGCATGGCTTGTATACTTGAGGATCAGGCTCGTGGCCTCTTTTTGCACTTTCTGCTGTTTTCACAGCTGCAAATTGTGAGGAGGCCAAGCCTAAAGTCAATCACTGAGAACAGCTTATAGTGAGGAGGCCAAGCCTAAAGTCAATCACTGAGAGCAGCTGAGTGTGAGGAGGCCAAGCCTAAAGTCAATCACTAAGAGCAGCTGATTCTGATAAAACATTCTTCCATCTTAGCTGCTGCCATTACCCTGAGTGTCTGCAGGCCTCTGTTAGCTGTGGGGGGTGGGAGTGGGGGCAGTAGACCAATTGTCATTTAACAAGCCTATTGTGAAAGGCAACTAATTGAGGGGCTGCCGGGTAGTAACGAGTCTCTGACGCTAACTTGATTGCATGATCATATAGTAAAGCCTAGTAAAGCACGTTGGTGCCATCTTCAAGGTCAGGATAAGAGACATTCTAACCATCTTCTCATGGGAACAATCAGTTCAGGCACCTTGGGCTGGCTGCTGCATCAGAGAATTAAGCATGCATGGCAATGCCCACTATGCAGTGACATTGATCATAATATCATAATGTGAAGAGCTGATAGGTTGGCTGGATCTTCTATCACTACCGACAGTCAGCCGATGGATCATGCTGATATTGTTAATGCCCTCAGAGAAATAGGAAGGATAGAGGACTTTGGGTGCACTGAATCCACATCACTCGCCAGAATGGCAGACTTGGGAATTTAGATTGGCATAGCAAAAAATGAGACGCACAGCAGACACACCAGAAGACTTGTTAATCAACATAGAACTGGTACTATTAGCCATCGGACGTTGGGGTTCATACTGAGGGTAGGATCTGAGCACCTGTAGACATGTCCGGAGTGCAATGATAATAACCCAACTAACTAACTAACTAACATATTGTGAAAATAAGTTCTTAATTTTCATTCTAGTTGCTTCTGTTCTCCTCCACAGTAACAACAGACAGGTGAATTGTCCAGCATGTTTAGAAGAGCAGGTGGATATCCAAGAAGTTGGGCAGTTGTCAATGAACCTGGTATGTTTTCATGTGGATTTTTGTGATCTTGCTATTTTGCTCACGTGGCACTGTTTTATATCTGAGTTGACTCAGGTCTCTGTTGCCTACAACATTAACATTCCCTCTTGACTCAGGTCTCTGTTGCCTACAACATTAACATTCCCTCTTGACTCAGGTCTCTGTTGCCTACAACATTAACATTCCCTCTTGACTCAGGTCTTTGTTGCCTACAACATTAACATTCCCTCTTGACTCAGGTCTCTGTTGCCTACAACATTAACATTCCCTCTTGACTCAGGTCTCTGTTGCCTACAACATTAACATTCCCTCTTGACTCAGGTCTTTGTTGCCTACAACATTAACATTCCCTCTTGACTCAGGTCTCTGTTGCCTACAACATTAACATTCCCTCTTGGTGTGTTGATTAAAATGGCCTTGTAACTTGTCGGTAGGAATCTGCAAATTCTGCATTTTACTACTGTAGTAAGGCTTTAAACTGTCAGATCATTTATTTAACCTTTACTTTACGGACTCCTTAAGGATCCTTTACTTTACTTACAGGTTATCTGCACAGTTAATTGTGTTTGTATGGGCAGTTTAGCTGTCATCCGTTGTTCACATTCAGTGGATAGTTGTGTTTGTATAGGCAGTTTAGCAGTCATCCATTGTTCACATTCAGTGGTTAGTTGTGTTTGTACGGGCAGTTTAGCAGTCATCCATTGTTCACATTCAGTGGATAGTTGTGTTTGTACGGGCAGTTTAGCAGTCATCCATTGTTCACATTCAGTGGTTAGTTGTGTTTGTACGGGCAGTTTAGCTATCATCCATTGTTCACATTCAGTGGATAGCTGTGTTTGTATGGGCAGTTTAGCTCTCATCCATTTTTCACATTCAGTGGATAGGTGTGTTTTTATGGGCAGTTTAGCTATCATCCATTGTTCACATTCAGTGGATAGGTGTGTTTGTATGGGCAGTTTAGCTCTCATCCATTGTTCACATTCAGTGGATAGCTGTGTTTGTATGGGCAGTTTAGCTCTCATCCATTGTTCACATTCAGTGGATAGCTGTGTTTGTATGGGCAGTTTAGCTCTCATCCATTGTTCACATTCAGTGGATAGCTGTGTTTGTATGGGCAGTTTAGCTATCATCCATTGTTCACATTCAGTGGATAGGTGTGTTTGTATTAGCAGTTTAGCTGTCATCCATTGTTCACATTCAATGGATAGTCCGATTTACTACTACTATGTATCAAATTATAAACACATGTTTGGTTGCTATATTTAAGTCACATGACTAGACATTACCTAGTAAAGCAGTCATTGGCTCTGACAGTGGAGTACTGTTGTCACCGTTACAAAAGGTTATGGGGTTGAATGTGTCTGCATGATCTTGTTTGGTTTTTACTTTGCATATTCAAGCTTCATGTTTTTTGTTGTTGTCAACTTAGATGTTTCCAGACAATGCTGTCAAAAGAGAAATGTCAGTAATGGCCACATCGTGTGTCTTTCCTGGATGCAGCTGGCGAGGAAGATTTAAAGAGTACGAAGTAAGTCTCATATAATTAGGCACTATAGAAAGTGTATTGTGCTGTTGTAATATTGACTTGATATATTATGGTGTGTGCAGAACAAAATGTAAATGTGAGAATTATTTGTTTAAATTCAGTTCAAAAGGTGGCACATCTTCCTGCTTACTTGTTTGTGAAAATGTGCAAACATGATTTTGAAAGACATCACATATATGTACGTATAATCAGGGGCTACGCATCTGAGGGATTATCTTTTTATGAAATACCTTTTCCTCTACTTATGCTTTTTTGTAAGTTTCTGGTCCTTCAGTACCCAAATATGTCCTAGCCATCCTCACTAGCAGCTAGACACTTTCAGAGTCTTGGAAATATGAGAAGTAAAACTATCACATCACATAGTCACAGCACATCATCACATCACATAGTCACAGCACATCATCATATCACATAGTCACAGCACATCATCACATCACATAGTCACAGCACATCATCACATCACATAGTCACAGCACATCATCACATCACATAGTCACAGCACATCATCACATCACATAGTCACAGCACATCATCACATCACATAGTCACAGCACATCATCACATCACATAGTCAAATCACATAGCCACAGCACATCATCACATCTAATAGTCACAGCACATCATCACATCAAATAGTCACAGCACATCATCACATCAAATATTCACATCACATAGTCACAGCACACTCTTTTTCGTAACCAAAAAACATAATCAGGATGCTTATCTTATAATTACTGCTTACCCCCCCCCCCCCCCACCCCCCCCCCCCCCCCCCCCCCACCCCCCCCCCCCCCCCCCCCCCCCCCAAATGAATTAATTGTGTATATGATTCAGTTAACCTAAGTGAAACAGACTAAAAAGATACCTTGTGTTAGTTGTAATGGCATAGTGGATAGTCTGATTGCTTGCCAAGAAAGTGGTCCTAACAAGTTCAGATCCTAGGACTGATTGCATCTTTTTACCAACCAGTGCATCACTGGGAGAGGCACAGCCTCCTTCAATATGGGTATAAGATCATTTGAAGATTTAATTTTGATAAACAAAAATTGTAAACAAGTGAGATTACTTATGATGAAAATTGAAACATAAGTACCCACAAGCTGAAAGTAAATTCTCCCTTTTCATTTTATGAGGCATCTTTGGTATACAGAATGTTAAGACCCATGTATTACATCGCTGTGTCTGTCTTTGAAGATGTCAAACTTGCTCTCAGAATAACTTGTCTAGATCGTTACATTGGTATGTTAGTGCACCGCCAACTCTAGATTACGCCATCTAACTAAATCACGTGACTTTTTGGATGGAGTCCCTCGAAAACTGGTTAGTGTAAGCCCTTTCCGTGTCTTGCATTGTGTGACATTTTAATGTGCTTGCAAAGTTTTGTGTTCTGAATGAATTTGTCTTACATATCTACAAGTGGATATTCTGAAGTAGATACACAAGATTTTCAAACTTTGCTGTTAGATTACAGCAATTTGAATTTAAATTCACGGGAGACGGTCGTGTTGCGATATGTGTGTCACTGTTTCTAGTCAGTAGTTTGGATTTTTGGGAACTGGCTGTTTATTCTTTTTCTACTTTGAATGTGGAAAACTTACTTTTAGGGAAAATACTTTAAACAGTTAATTTAGAAGCCATATCTGGAGAATATCGACAGTTGTCAGGTGCAAACTATCTTGTGTTTGAAGAAAACTATTGCTTCCATATTGACTATGCATAAATGGTGCAACCACACTGTGGATAAATTGTGTTAAGATATTTCGGAGCTTTAGGTAAGTGGATGAAAATAATATTTAATTTACTAACTAACCTCTCATAGCAAGTCACTCTTTGCCTCTTTACTAATTGTTGACTAACAGTATAATTATATGTTGTGGCAGTACACTAATAATATTAATCCTTAACCATTTGACTTATGCTTCGCGAACACTGGCTGTAAACTCTTGCGGAAACTTCTGGTAGTTCATCGACTTCTTTTGCATATTTGCAGTTCTGGCTTTTGCTTTGCTTCGCAAACACTGGCTGTAAACTCTTGCGGAAACTTCTGGTAGTTCATTGACTTCTTTTGCATCTGTTTATTTTTGTAAACTGGCTTTTGCTTTGCGAAAAAGAACACTGGCTGTAAACTCTTGCGGAAACTTCTGGTAGTTCATCGACTTCTTTTGCATATTTGCAGTTCTACGGTCTGTTAATTTTTGTAAACTGGCTTTTGCTTTGCTTCGCGAACACTGGCTGTAAACTCTTGCGGAAACTTCTGAAAGTTCATCGACTTCTTTTGCATCTGTTTATTTTTGTAAACTGGCTTTTGCTTTGCTTCGCGAACACTGGCTGTAAACTCTTGCGGAAACTTCTGGTAGTTCATCGACTTCTTTTGCATATTTGCAGTTCTAGGTCTGTTAATTTTTGTAAACTGGCTTTTGCTTTGCTTCGCGAACACTGGCCGTAAACTCTTGCGGAAACTTCTGGTAGTTAATCGACTTCTTTTGCATCTGTTAATTTTTGTAAACTGGCTTTTGCTTTGCTTCGCGAACACTGGCTGTAAACTCTTGCGGAAACTTTTGGTAGTTCATCGACTTCTTTTGCATCTGTTAATTTTTGTAAACTGGCTTTTGCTTTGCTTCGCGAACGCTGGCTGTAAACTCTTGCGGAAACTTCTGGTAGTTCATCCACTTCTTTTGCATATTTGCAGTTCTACGGTCTGTTAATTTTTGTAAACTGGCTTTTGCTTTTGCTTCACGAACACTGGCTGTAAACTCTTGCGGAAACTTCTGGTAGTTCATTGACTTTTTTTGTGTGTTTGCAGTTCTACGGTCTGTTAATTTTTGTAAACTGGCTTCTGCTTTGCTTCGTGAACACTGGCTGTAAACTCTTGCGGAAACTTCTGGTAGTTCATCGACTTGTTTTGCATATTTGCAAAATAACGGTCTGTGTTAATTTTTGTAAACTGGCTTTTGCTTTGCTTCACGAACACTGGCTGTAAACTCTTGCGGAAACTTCTGGTTGTTCATCCACTTTCTATGCATATTTACCAAAAAATTCGCAATGGTAAGGAATTGATTTAATCCAACAAGATGAAACTGGACAAATTTGTTTGTACCTTGAGGATACATATTTAGTAGTGCATTTTTGTTTGTCTGTAAGAGCCTTTATTGTTATATTTATTCGGCACACTTATTTACCTTAAAAATGACGTATAGTTCTATAAAATATGTAGAAAATTAATGAAACTGTAGTTTAATTTGTGTATACATCTCCTCAATAAAAACTGTTAACACAGAGGGACTCAATTCTTGCACAAGAACGGGAATCCCCGTTGACCCAGTTGGCCTATTTATAGCTAAAGATGGCCGTGGTTAGTAGGAGAAAAAAATTAATTCACGAAACTGACTGTGTGATTAAAAAAAAAAATATGGAAAAGTCATATGTATGTATAGACCTAATGAGGTTATAGCATCAGTTTTATTATGTTATTTAACATAGTTTGGCTTTACGCTCCATTGTATTTAATTGGAAGACATAATCCATTTCTGCCTCCCTCCCTTTTCTTGCTCCGCCTTTCTCCCTCTCTTTATTTCTCTCCCTCTGTTTGCCTCACTAAACTTCCCTCTCTATATCTCCCTCTTTTTTTTAAAATCTACATCTCACTACTTGCATCTCTCTCTCTTCCTGTCCCTTCTCTCACTTATTCCCCTTCTCTTCATCTGTCAGTCTCTCTGTCTGCCGGTCCCTCTTTCCTTACTTTGTCTCCTCTGTCTTTCACACTGTCTCTCCCACTGTCCCTCAGCATCTCTTTCCCCCTCTCTGTATGACTCAACCCACCCCCCTCCCCCCTCCCTTTTCAGGTACCAGGTCTAGAGGAGACAGGACTTCAGTTTGCTCTTCTCTGCCACCAGGTCTAGAAAAGATTTAAGAGTACTATATGTGCACACAAATAAAGTACCGCATATGCCCGCTACACTCTTAAAAAAGGCAAAAATTAAACATCGAAAAACCCTTGCAAACCTTTAAAAAAGGTTGTAGAAATTGGCTACAAACATTTTATTAACATAAACTTATTTTACAGCAGTTTATATGTTAGTCTTATAATGGGTGCCTATTTCATTTATGTGTTTGTAGGCTCATGAAAGAAGCTGTGAATTTCGACAGATAGCTTGTGGCTTGTGTGCTCAGCCTGTTTCTAATGGTCACATTGATGAACACAAGCAGACTGATTGCCCTCAGAGACACGTTGTCTGTGATTTCTGTCAGACAGAGACAGTGTTCGCCAGGTTACAGGTAGCGTTTTTTGTGTGGTTTTTTTAAAAAACAAATAGCCCCCTGTGTGGGTTCCGGGACCCTATTATAAGGAAAACAAGAATAGACCCACTGCCTACCCAAAAGCATGTCACAAGAGTCGACTAATTAGGAGCTTCCTTTGAAGTCGGAGTGCATATGCCTGAGAGGCAAGGAACCAACAGTCTGCACACATATGCGTCAAATCTGTCAAACGGATGCACACGCAACACTCAGGTTCTGGAACAGGACTGCAGTCCAGAAGTGGACGAACAACCAGGACTGCAAGAAACATCAACCTAGGGGACACACATTATTTTTGTTGCAAAAGCCATCAAAGGACAACGTTGACCAAATCTGGATGAAAATTAAGAATATATTTCAAGTAACTGTGGAAGAATATCTTGGTTTATCAACCATAAACAGAAAGAACAAATAGTCGGACAACAAAAGCAAGAATACATGATCGGTATTGTCAAAGATAGGGAAGCTAACCAACAGAACAATGAATCTAAAATGTTTGTTTGTGTTTAAAGAACTGAAGGCATCAACACAGAATGTACAGTTTGAAAGATAGCAATGGAAAAATGATAAATAATCATGAGGAAACATGTAAAAGGTTGATGGAATACTTCACTGAATTGTTAAATTGTGAAACTCCAATAAATGCTTCTCTACAGAAAGAGATACTAACATGTGAACCAAATATTGAAGAACCTGATTCTGAAGAGACACTGTGGTTGTGATATCACTGCTTAGAATCATTTGCTATAGTTGCCATCTTGTTGACCAGAGATTGTACTGACATCACTTATCAATCACAAAAAGACTATAAAATTATTTGTAATAGCATTCATGTAACACAACCTTGCTTGGAATAAATTAGTCTCAACTGTAAAATAATTCTTTCTCAGTAATATTTTATTTTTAGGTGCTATTTAAGTTCACTTGTTACTCTTCATGGTAAATCAATTTTTAAAGTTAGGAGCTACAGAAGCATAGTGGCTAGAAAATCTAGGTTTCAAATGTTTACTGATTTTGTCCTCTTCAAAACTTACTTTGGCTTCCAGGTCAGCCTCGCCTAAAATGGGTACCAGGTAAAGTTCTGGGAAGTAAAAGCATCCAGCATAATGTTGGTCATATCTCCCATTGTGGGCCAATTAATCTGTCAAAATATGAACGTAGCATCATATGCCAGTGTCACTGATGGGAAAGGGGTGCTTTTTGGTTTTATCAGAATACACGGGCTAGATGAGATAGCCATGTAATAAGACCAACTTAGACAACAATCCACAAACATTGACATTTAGACACAGTAGAAACAGCAAGATTAGACCCTACAAGTAAAATTAACAAAATAGTAGAAGCTGTAAATAACTTTTTGAATGCAGCCACTCACAGGTTTTCCAGAAAGCTGTTTATTTTTAACTGGGAGAGTAGAAGAGGTACAATATGACATTATGTTACATACTAGATGCTTCTGGGAGAGTAGAAGAGGTACAATATGACATTATGTTACATACTAGATGCTTCTGGGAGAATAGAAGAGGTAAAATATGACATTATGTTACATACTAGATGCTTCTGGGAGAGTAGAAGAGGTACAATATGACATTATGTTACATTCTAGATGCTTCTGGGAGAGTAGAAGAGGTACAATATGACATTATGTTACATTCTAGATGCTTCTGGGAGAGTAGAAGAGTTACAATATTACATTATGTTACATACTAGATGCTTCTGGGAGAGTAGAAGAGGTACAATATTACATTATGTTACATACTAGATGCTTCTGGGAGAGTAGAAGAGGTACAATATGACATTATGTTACATACTAGATGCTTCTGGGAGAGTAGAAGAGGTACAATATTACATTATGTTACATACTAGATGCTTCTGGGAGAGTAGAAGAGGTACAATATTACATTATGTTACATACTAGATGCTTCTGGGAGAGTAGAAGAGGTACAATATTACATTATGTTACATACTAGATGCTTCTGGGAGAGTAGAAGAGGTACAATATTACATTATGTTACATACTAGATGCTTCTTAGCGGTTAATTTTTTTTTTATGTAAGTATGTCACATCATTTATTTGTGCCATTTTACACGAAGCTAACTTTGTGAACAATTAAGTAATACATTATTTACGCTCCCTAACTGCATTATTTGAATTTTCGTCCCCAGTCTCATCATGACATTTGTGAAAAATTTCCAGTCACATGTGATCTTTGCAACTTGCCTAATATAGCCAGAGAGGGGGTGAGTTTTTTTATGGAAACGATTTTTCCGTGATTGGTTCATTGCTTCGTCACATTCAAAACAGGCTCATTGTCCTCTTGTGTAATGCTTGGTCATTGACACTGTCACGATTGTTTGCTCCCTTTATGGACACCAGCTACTCAACTGTGATATATTAGTGTCACTGAAAACAAACTCTTCCTTCTTCATAAATATTGAAGTGAGATGTCATTGACTGAAAGAAAAAAAAAAGGAAAGAGGGGGGGGGGGGGGGGTGGCAGGTGGATGAATGACGAAGACAGTGTCTACATTTAGACAAGCATGCTGATGAGAAACAAAGATGTGTGATAATGAATGGCTTTAACCTTTTGACCCTGCAACAAGCTTAAAAATGACGTTTTCACAAAGCACATTTGAAATAAACACATCCTCATAAATCCCTGAAATTCAACCAAAAACAACTACGAATACAGGCGCTACACATGAAAGCAAGAGGTTGCTCTATGAGAAGATGGACTGATGACATTCAAGAGCTTCCACATCGACATGGAAGGACAATAGCTATGCAGTTAATCAACAACTTTTCCTTTTATTGACACCTAATGACTAAAGTGGAAATGGATGATGATGATAGTTAGCATAGCAGTGAGCATTCGATTTTGATATTTTCTAAGAGAGAATGCAGCTCCTGTGAGTATATATTGACTGCTGTGATTGTCGTCTGCTAACCACTAACAACTTGTACATTTATTGACTGTAAATAAGCCTACATCATCATCATCATGTAGCAGGTCCTTTGCAGAACGTTGCTCTCATCACAGTCTGCCTGAAAGAAACTCAGTCTCTCGCCAGTTCTCCCGCCTCATGCATTTTCACATTCAAGGAGTCACCTATATCCTGTGCCCATCTCTGTGTCGGTCGGCCCCTGCCCCTCCTTCCTGGTACCATGCCTTCTGCTATTATTATTTCCAATCCGTCGTGGCGCTTGATATGACCCAAATATTTCAGCTTTCGAGAAAGGATGCTGTTTATTAGCCAATCTTTCTTGATGTTCAGATCTTTTAAGATGTCAATATTTCTCATCTTCTTTGTCCAAGATATTCTGAGAATTTTTCTATAACTTTTCAGCTCAAAAGCCCCTATTCTCTTTCTCAAGGACTGAGAGATAGTCCACGACTCACATCCGTATATAGCCGCAGGGAAGATGCATGCTCTCAAAATTCTAATTTTGATCTCCTTGCTGTTGCTTAACCATATTTTAAGGCTGTTCAATCTTTGCCTTGCTATGGCCATCATCCCTTTAATTTCCGTCGAACAGTCTCCATTGTTGTTTGTTATAGAGCCTAGATATTCAAAGTTTTTGACATTTTCAATTTCTTCATTATTTATTGTTATTTTTGGGTGACAGCCAGTTTTATCTGTGGACATTATTTTCGTTTTCTTTAAATTCAAGAACAGATCTTGATTTTCACTGTGCTTTTGGACAGACAATATTAAATTTTCTATTCCCTTTACGCTGTTTGAAAGGAGAACTGTGTCATCTGCGTAGCGTAGTTCCGGAATAGGGTTGCCACCAATTTGAGCGGATCATAACTGTCACAAGTCTAGTCATTTTTGACATTTCTTATTATATTTTCTGTGTATATATTGAATAGGTACAGTAAGAGAATGCACCCCTGTCTCACCCCCTTTTGCACCTCAAACCAATCAGATGTTTCACCAGCTGCTCTGATGGCTGCTTGTTGTTCATGATAAAGATTTTCAATTAAATGCACTAAATGCGCTGGAAACCCCATACTTTTCATGATAGTCCACAGTTTGTGCTGCTGGACACAATCAAATGCCTTGCTATAATCAATAAAACAAGCATGAAGATCTACATTGTATTCTCTACATTTTTCAAAAATTAGTAGGTTGATTATTTCACAGCATTTTGTGGCAGTGCATAATTAACTGCAGTTTCTTTTCAATGTAATGTTTAGATGAAAGTTCACATGGAACAGCAATGCTCAAAACGGAGGATCAAATGTCCAATGGGCTGTGCTGAACAGGTACTTGTGAATATAATTTATGTGACAGAATGTTTGCTAGTAAGACATCATCTGACTGGTGTGATTGTGAAGTTTAAATTTTTTTTTTATCAGATGGAAGAAATATACAACATTCTGTAATTTTTATGTCATAATAATAGAAATGTATTACTAAAACATGTGATTGATTATAAAAATTGCCCCATTAGCGCTGATTTTATATAGACATTTTTGTTTCTATTTCATGTGATTATAGTAAATTGTAATGACAGCATTAGAGACAAAGTTGGAACAAGAACATGCATGAAACATATTGAAAGACAGAGAATGAATTGGTTTGGCCATTTAGTAAGAATGCAACCGGATCAGATTGTCTATAAGGCCTTTTACAGTCTAACATCTGGAAGAAAGGCCAGAGGAAGACCCAGGAAAAAATGGATAGATGGAGTAGCTGAATACGGCCAGAAGATGCAGAAAACTGTCACTCAAATCACGCGAGAGGCTCAAAACAAATATTTTAAACCACGACACTGGGCTACAACCCGGTAAAAGTAAAGAAGACAATAGATAGATAGATAGTAAATTATGTTTCCAGCAATAATTCAGTAATTTTTTTTCTACATTTTCTAACAGTTTTTTCAAATTTTTATGAAGGCCTTTGAATAAATATATCAGATATAACATTTCTCAGAGTTGGTTATTGCTAACATAAACAGCTTTTTATTATTTGCATAAGTAGTCTCATAATGTAATTTATTTTTCTTCTAAACATTGATGCAATAAAAAGATGGCGTTGTTGCAGTTCTTATTTTTCTTTTATCCTTTTGTGATTTGTGAAGCGGGTTTCCTCACGGGATGTTGTCTTCTTTTATGATTTGTTTGAACATATTGTTTTCTGTGTTAACACTTTTCACTTGTTGAGATCTGTATTATTTTATTCAGTTTTATGTAGAAATCTTGAAATACATTTCGGTACATCCGGTTCTAGTTCACAAGCATTATTTTATTTAATTAAAAAAAAAAATATTTCTTCATTTACATGTTTCTGATACCGTATTTTCTCAATTTGTATTGCTGTTGTTACAGCTATGTAGTTGGTATAACAACAAAATCGTTGAGTGATATTTATAATAGTGGGTGCATTCCTAATTACCTTTTAAAATCTATATTTATTGCTCTGCCAAAGAAACCAGGCACTTTAAAATGTGAAGGCTATCGCTCCTTAAATCGTATGAGTCATTTGACAGAAATGTTACTGAGAATAATTATGAGAAGAATAAGAAACAAGATTAATCCAGAAATGAGTAAAGAACAGTGTGGATTTGTAGAAGGAAAAGGTACAAACAATGCCATATACATCCTCAGGACTGTTTAGGAAAGAGCTATAGAAGTTAGACAAAAATGATCTTTCCTTATGCTTCATTGACCATACGAAAGCATTTGACTATGTAAAACATGAGGAAACAACCAAACTTTTGGAAAAGCTAAACATGGGTGGAAAAGATTCACAAATTATAAAGAATATTGGCAGCAAACAGCAGCTATAAGACTAAATAACACTTTGGGAACATTTCAAAGTATAAAGAGTGGAGTACGACAAGGATGTGAATTATCACCTGATTATTTTTCCATTGCACAGTGGATATTTAATTAGATCTGTCGTGGATATGCCAGGAATTTTTTTTGCTTTATGCTAATGACACCGTCTTGATAACGACAAGTCAAAAAGAACTACAGAAATGGATAGATACAGTGATGGTAAAAAGTTAGCTATGTATCCTTTACAGGACGTTGCAGAACCTACCCCAGCATTTTAAGGCGGTTTTTCTAGGCAAATTTACATACAGTAGTTTGCCTTTTCTTTCTGGATGGTCGGCTCTTGGTACCACTGTCAAAACCATCGCAAGACAAACCATTCACAGCTGAGATCCCACCCAGCATTACGAAGCGCGTTCGCAACGCCTAAGCCACAGACGCCAACACTACACTGTAACTTCACAATAAATGAAGCAGCAGTACTTTGTATATCCACCCTGTAGTCCAAACTAAAGAAGAGCAACCCAGATATTTTGAAAGAGGTGAGTGCTCAAAGACAACTTATCACAAACATCAGAAAAAGACAGTAATCATTTTTTGGTCATGTTATGAGAAGAGGGAAAACGGAGCATGTTGTTACCACTGGACAAATTTGTGGAAAGAGAGACAGAGGAAGACAACGCGAGAAGGCCTCTTGACGGCCTTTTGTCATGGCATGGAGGGGTGTCAACACACGAACTGATACACGCAGCTGCAAATCACAGATTGTGGAAAGGCATAATCGCCAATGCCAGTCGGCAAGGCACTTAATGATGATGATGAGTTGGTACAACAAACATAAGTAATAAAGATTCAAATAGCAAATGGAATAGAATGCAGCTGAAAGACATGTGAAGGGGCCCCAAAACGAGGGCTCATACTGATTGATCGATAAAAAACGTGTTTGTGGTAATGCAAGAAACAAGTGCTGTACTGGATGTTTGGTCAATGAAGATGGGATCAAGGTTTCCTTCCTAGTCGAGTGCATTTGCTTGAAAGTCAAGGAACCAAGTCTGCAAACAAATAAAGCCAAATCTGTAGAAGAGATGTGCATGCAACACTCATGTCATGGAACAAGGCCAAAGTTTTGAGGTAAACAAACAACCAGGACTTTTCACTGAAGTTTCTGTCAAGCTTTCTCCGAACGCCAAGTAAAAGAAGAAAAAAGCAATTAAAATTTCAAAACTGTTCTATCTCACAGGGGTAAAAAAAACTGCAACTGTACTGATTGAATATTTGACTAGCGTGAACCACGTTGACCTATCATCAGAACCAGACAAATCCCAGCAGAGATGAACATGCACACCGTTCAAAATGGACGCTAGGCACGGCCACTATTTGGAGCCGAGGCAAATTTTTTGCTTCTGCTGAACGGTGGCTGTTGCAGTTTTGCTCCATTTTTAGACTGGATATAGTTTCATCGCCCAGTTTCTGAGTTGAATGCATGGCATGACACTGGATCTTCCGGTCAAAATGGACGTTAGGCAGCGGCACTGTTCGAAACAGGCAAATTATTTTGCTTCTGCCGGGTGGTGGCCGATGCATTTTTGCTCCATTTATAGACTGGATATAGTTTCGTCACCCAGCTTCTGAGTTGAATGCATGGCGTGACCCTGTTAGCTGCAGATTGCATTCGGAATGTTTTTTCGAATGTGACCAACGTGTTGGTGTGAATTGTAGATTCAGAAAATGGCGCGATGCCTATCGTGCAGTGTTGTGGTGCCCGTATGTGATTAAAATTGATCGCGTGGGCAACTGCTGATCTGTTGGTGACTTCTGTTACCATCAATGATGAACTGCAATTCTAATACTGTGATAAACATTCTGTGTGTTTTTCGTTGGCACAGGAGCGGAGCAAAGATGGGGTGACCCGTTTGCTATGAAGCTGAAACTAAGACTACCAGACTGTGAGCTGCGGATTTCATTTGGAATGTTTTTTCGACTGTGACCAGCGTGGTGGTGTGAGTTGTAGATTCAGAAAATGGCGGGATGCCTGTCGTCACAATGTTGGTGGTGCCCGTATGTGATTAAAATTGATCGCGTGTGCAACTGCTGATCTGATTGTGACTTCTGCTACCATCAATGATGAACTGCATTTCTAATGTTGGACTGTTTGTGTTAGCACTTCGGACGGCTACCGTATGCTTTAATGCGTGTGTATGCTAGATATGCTGAGACAGCAGTCTGTCAATCTTTCCACAAGGGACTGTGATAAACATTCTATGTGTTTTTCATTGGCAACGATGGGATGACCTGTTTGCTATGAAACTGAAACTAAGACTACCAGACACACCTTAATACACACTAGGCAACAGAATATATGATGTCACATTTTTAATTGGAAGAAATAGAAGGAAAAAACACTGCAAAAAAACATATATGAAAGGGGTGGAATTACAAATAAAATGGGGACGGAAAAGAAGCTACCAGTAGTCCTAAATTGCATCTGGAAGAGGATTCTTTAATAATACAGAGTAAAAACGAAAGGCTATTATAATACAGAGTATATACGAAAGGCTGTTATAATACAACATTATTCCTAACAATCATAAATGACTTTTCAGAAAACTTTCTTGCCAGATCATGCACTTTTACTATGCCATGTGGATGGGTATCTAATTAATATATTGCTAAAACTCCAGCAGGATGCAGCGAGTATAAGAAGAATGTTAAAAAACAAGGATGATGAAAATCCATGAGCAGAAAACTAGAGGCACAGTGTTTTCACTGTCAAAGAAAACACAGCACTCAAAACTAATGTAGAATGAGAAAAATATATTGGCTGAAAGAGAAAAATAGACAACCTAGGTGTGACCTTTCATTATTACCTGACATTGAAGATACAGATTGAAATGAAATTAATCTATCAAGGCCAAGACAAGCAATGATAATTGTGTGAAAAATGATGCTGCAATATTTGGTGGAAAAGATTATATTGTTGTATGGTAGAGAAACGGACAGGATGCTGTATCATCATGTACTTTCTGTTCTTAAAATAACTGTTTCATTTTATTAAATATTTTCAGTTTCAGCATGACAAATTCCCTGAGCACTTGCACATGTGCGTTGAATCTCATCTTGCTTGGACTGTAGAGAGGCTTATGATTTTGGAACATAAGATTGAAGACACTATAGGCAGTGTTGAAATGACTCCAGCAAATTTCAGTCAAGTTGTGGGAGATGTGAAAAGCATAGAGAAAAAGGTTAGCTTTGTGACTGTCCAAATACACGCGCATGTACGCACACACATGTCAGTGTCAAATCAGTGTTTTGATTTACCCTTGATTTCCACATAGTGTAATAGTCTTCTCTTAGGCTCTTCAGTTTGAAGATTATCATCATCATTGTCGTGGGTCCCCGAGTGGGTAGATAATTTTGTGATGAGTAGGAGTTTAACTCTCAACACGTCACCTCCACCAGAGAAACTGGACTAATATCCGAGCTGTGTTGATCTCAAGACAAGAAAACAGCCATATTTAGCTCATCATGTAAATACACAACAGCTGCACTTGGTACCCACAAGAGATGGAAAGGGATTTTAGATGTCTAGATTACTTTAAGTACAAGTTCATCGATACTGTTGAATCAAGACGAAGTTGTCAGTTATCCAACTGAGTTCTTGAATTCACTTAATTTGCCTGGCAAGCCACCACACGTTTTAACCTTGAAAATTGGCGTGCCTATCATTCTTCTCAGAAACATCAATCTGCCACTTTTTAATGGTACCAGGCTTTCAGTGAAAAAGATAATGACCAATATCATCGAAGGTACAATTTTTAATGGATTATATAAGGGAGAAGATATACTATTGCCATGCATCCCAATGATTCGAACAGACGTGCCATTCGAATTCAAATGCTTGCAGTTTCCGGTGCAACTCGCCTTTGCAATGACCATCTACAAATCACAAGGACAGTCGCTACAGATGTCTGGGCTACAATTGGAAATTCCATGGTTTCACATTGACAGCTATATTTGGCCTATTCACACATTGGAAAACCTGATTTATTCGTGTACGCACCAGATGGAAAAACAAAATATATTGTATATCTGAAAGCCCTTCAGTAAACAGAATTAGAATGAAACTTCAAATTGTCAGTTTTTCCCCAATAAAATCAACAAAAGGTCAATGATCCAGTATAATTATTAAATATTGTTATAGCGAGTTTCCTTAAAATTCAGTTTCTATTGGAGACCTAGCAAGGCGCGCAGGGTACAGCTAGTATTGTATATTTTTGTCTCACAAATCCATAAAAAAGGTATTTAAAATAAGATACTGTTTTTGGAGTGGGCGATTGGATTATTTGGATTTGTAATTTTGGTTGGAAAAATTGTTACAGCTCATAACATTTCGGTTCGCGGAGAAAAAATTAAGTTCATTTCGTTACCCGAGGTACCACTGAAATTCCTTCAGTATATTTCTTACTGCCATTATCAGGGTATCTAAGTACCTACATTTTATCTTAAAAAGACAAATTGCAATTTGAATACTTGATGTTATGGCAGTGCAGACCATGTGAATTGTTTTGCAGCTGGTCTTCTGCAACATACTGTGTTCCAGATGTATGTTACCTTTCATTTGGAGTAAATAGGGCAGGCAAAGAGAGACACCACTGCCTTCACTTTTTGTATGGAGAGAAGAAACTTTATTCCTGGCCCTAATTGATCTTGCATACAAATCGAGAGGTAGCAGTTATCTACGAGTCCACAAGTTCTTGTAAGCTGGCATAGATAATAGTGCCACTGTCTGTCTATGATGGTGGGAGACATTTTGGATCAGCTACCGCCCACCTCAGGCTGGGCAGCCCGCAGCCAGTGCTTTATTCTTTGCTTGAAGTTGAGACAAAATCCTAATCACAGGCTGTAGAAACCAGTGCACTGTGAAATAAAATGAAATGTAACTTCAGATTTTAGCTTGCAGCATGCAGTAAATGATGTGAGAAAATTGACTGTCATTAATGCTGATCTTAACAGACTTGACATAGATTTGGTTGGCCTGAAGGAAATACATGCGGACAGGCTGGCTGGCTCTGCACATTAGAGAGAACAACTGTACCTTTTAATTTGAAAGACAGAGGCGGGGAAGAAATCTGACAGTACAAAGTGAGATTTGCAGTAAAGAATGCCTTTTGGGATTAACTGAGAGCCCAACTGCAGATTATCTATACAGTTGTCTGTATCATTATAAAGTTGTCTGTCTCAGTATACAGTTGTCTGTCTCAGTATACAGTTGTCTGTCTCATTATACAGTTGTCTGTCTCACTATACAGTTGTCTGTCTCACTATACAGTTGTCTGTCTCACTATACAGGTGTCTGTCTCACTATACAGTTGTCTGTCTCACTATACAGTTGTCTGTCTCACTATACAGTTATCTGTCTCACTATACAGGTGTCTGTCTCACTATACAGTTGTCTGTCTCACTATACAGTTGTCCGTCTCACTATACAGTTATCTGTCTTGTCTCACTATACAGTTGTCTGTCTCGTCTCACTATACAGGTGTCTGTCTCACTATACAGTTGTCTGTCTCACTATACAGTTGTCTGTCTCACTATACAGTTGTCTGTCTCACTATACAGTTGTCTGTCTCACTATACAGGTGTCTGTCTCACTATACAGTTGTCTGTCTCACTATACAGTTGTCCGTCTCACTATACAGTTATCTGTCTTGTCTCACTATACAGTTGTCTGTCTCGTCTCACTATACAGGTGTCTGTCTCACTATACAGTTGTCTGTCTCACTATACAGTTGTCTGTCTCACTATACAGTTGTCTGTCTTGTCTCACTATACAGTTGTCTGTCTCACTATACAGTTGTCTGTCTCACTATACAGTTGTCTGTCTCACTATACAGGTGTCTGTCTCACTATACAGGTGTCTGTCTCACTATACAGTTGTCTGTCTCACTATACAGTTGTCTGTCTCACTATACAGTTGTCTGTCTCACTATACAGTTGTCTGTCTCACTATACAGTTATCTGTCTTGTCTCACTATACAGTTGTCTGTCTCGTCTCACTATACAGGTGTCTGTCTCACTATACAGTTGTCTGTCTCACTATACAGTTGTCTATCTCACTATACAGTTATCTGTCTTGTCTCACTATACAGTTATCTGTCTTGTCTCACTATACAGTTGTCTGTCTCGTCTCACTATACAGGTGTCTGTCTCACTATACAGTTGTCTGTCTCACTATACTGTTGTCTGTCTCACTATACAGTTGTCTGTCTTGTCTCACTATACAGTTGTCTGTCTCACTATACAGTTGTCTGTCTCACTATACAGTTGTCTGTCTCACTATACAGGTGTCTGTCTCACTATACAGGTGTCTGTCTCACTATACAGTTGTCTGTCTCACTATACAGTTGTCTTTCTCACTATACAGTTGTCTGTCTCACTATACAGTTGTCTGTCTCGTCTCACTATACAGTTGTCTGTCTCGTCTCACTATACAGTTGTCTGTCTCATCTCACTATATAGATGTCTGTCTCACTATACAGTTGTCTGCCTCACTATACAGGTGTCTGTCTCACTATACAGGTGTCTGTCTCACTATACAGGTGTCTGTCTCACTATACAGTTGTCTGTCTCACTATACAGGTGTCTGTCTCACTATACAGTTGTCCGTCTCGTCTCAGTATACAGTTGTCTGTCTCGTCTCACTATACAGTTGTCTGTCTCGTCTCACTATACAGTTGTCTGTCTCGTCTCACTATTCAGTTGTCTGTCTCGTCTCACTATACAGTTGTCTGTCTCGTCTCACTATACAGTTGTCTGTCTCGTCTCACTATACAGTTGTCTGTCTCGTCTCACTATACAGTTGTCTGTCTCGTCTCACTATACAGTTGTCTGTCTCGTCTCACTATACAGTTGTCTGTCTCGTCTCACTATACAGTTGTCTGTCTCGTCTCACTATACAGTTGTCCGTCCCGTCTCACTATACAGTTGTCCGTCTCGTCTCATTATACAGTTATCCGTCTCGTCTCACTATACAGTTGTCTGTCTCGTCTCATTATACAGTTGTCCGTCTCGTCTCACTATACAGTTGTCTGTGTCTCACTATACAGTTGTCTGCTCACAAGGTTTTATCAACCATGTTAATGCACATACACCACACTAATATCAACTGAGGATGTAAAGGATTCCTTTCAATGAGAAACTGGACAGTGCAGTGAAAACGTTCCTTAAATTTACATAGTTGGTGATTTAAATGCTCGTGGGGTGGGATGACCTAACCTTGTGGCTGATTTGCCTTAAAAGCATAATGTTGGTCATGTGAATGAAAACCAAAAAAATCTGTCCCAGGTAAGGACCCTTATGTCCTTCCTGCAGCCAGTACACTCCTCCAAGACGTTCATCGCTTTCCTAGTAGGCTTAGGTGAAAATATTACCACAGCACTCAGCCTAAGAGGATAATCAATTTGAGGTGAAACTCACCTGTCAACTGAACATAGGAAACATATGATTGTGAAACATGAGCAAATAAACAAACTACTAGAAACAGCAGCTATAAAAAATAACTACCATGTTGAAATCATAGCACCAGTTTTAACAGATGGCTGTGAATCCTGGACAAGTAATAATAAACAGTCCAAACAATTTCTTGAGACCTCGGAGAGGTATCCAGAAAATTCTTTGGACAGCTGAAAGGAGCAACCCAATTGTTTTGAAGTAGCTGAGGGTTCGAAGACTACTTATCATAAACATCAGAAACGGACAGTTATCAATTTTTAAAAAAAATCCATTTTATGAGAAGAAACTGGAATGTGTTTTGACAACTGGAAAAATCTGTGGAAAACGAAACAGGAAGACAAGTTGCAACAATTCTTGACAGCCTTTTGTCATGGCATGGAGGTGTGACCACTTGAAAAATGCTTTTAACTCTTTCAGTCTCAAGGAACGCATCATACGTTCACAGGTTCCTTTCAAGAAGCCCAGAGAATGCATGATGCGCCAGTTTTGCGTCTCTCTTGACTACCCCTTGGGTCTCTGGTGCTAAATCCCCGGGAACTCAAAGAGTTAAACATAACAAACTGTACAGAGGCCTGATTGCCGACACCAGTCAGAAAGGCAGTTGCTGATGATGATGTCTGCTAACTCTCCTTTCTGCTTTCCCAATCCTAGATCATCATTGACTTCTAACCTTGAAGCATCCTAAACTTTAGATCTGTAAATTAACAAGAGGCTTCAAGATCCAGCAACT